TTTTTTTTTTTTTTTTTTTTTTTTTTTTTTTTTTTTTTTTTTTTTTTTTTTTTTGAATTAAGACAATGAGAGATTGGATAAGAAGACCAATCAGAAAGAAGCCTTTTATGTATCTTCTGTAAAAAGGTCAAATAGTTTACAATAATTTCTTCCTGCTTAACCCAGTGGCAAAATTGTAATCTCTCTAAACTTTTGAAGAATCTCAAAAGCAGGAAGAAATATCATCTTAATCCGATACATCAGGTGGAGCTGAAAATCTGCATCTAAGATTATATATCTTAACCAACTGAACTATGCTCAAGTCGACAATCGACCTTTATATTGACCTGAAGATGTTGTTTAGAAGCTCAAACTGGCTATATGAGTTGACAAATCAAACTGCAATTTCGGTACGGTACGGCTTCTTTAGTTAAACAGATGGCAGTTCCTCAGTGTGTGGGATACATATCTCTATTTTGAATACTATTTTGTCGTTCTTTCCATTAAGGATGAGGCTGGAGGACAATTTCAGAGACCAGCGGATGAAAGAATTAGAAGGGGAGTTGCTATCAATAGAAAGGTACGTCGTCATCTCTTGTCTGAGTAGAAAACAAAGATGGTACAGTTTAAAATGGCTGGTGTTAAACTAACTACACATGAACTTGTCAAAAGGCTTTGTTTTAGTTTGTTTGTGTGGAATCCTTTAGCTTTTGGGAAAGTTTGAGTATATCTACAAAGGAATTATGTGTTGAAAGGTTTTAATTCATTTGGATAATGGAATGGGATGATGATGTCTCTCTGTCTTGATCAAAATTATTAAGCATGGGATTGGGATTGCGAAGGCCTAGGATGATGTTGATGGAGTTTAGATAAGGGTTGAAGGTTTTTTTTCTTTTTTTCTTTTTTTCTTTAACGTGGGTAAAACATTTAAACGTCTAATTATTGACAGAGTCGTCCGTCACTTAATTAGTTGAAAATTTTAAAAGGCTATTAGTAGCTTATTGGTTGAATTATACCACTTTTCAACTAGTTTTTTTTTTTTTTTTTTTTTTCTTTTTACATTAAAAAGTTGTTTGCCCATGGGTTGTCTTTATTTTATAATTTTAATATAATAATAGTTCTGTTTATATATTTTTAATTAGTGTGTTTAATTCTTGGTCATTGCAGCTTACTCTTTTTGAATGATGAGCATCTGTCTCCTACAACTCTTGTCTTCTTCGTTGGCCACTGAACTTCCATGCATGAATCACCTTTTAAAGGTATGTACATTCAACTAAGCTATGCTCATCAACACCTATGATTCTTTGGACAAACTCGAGATTTGATTAATTGAACATCGTTGCATTCATTTTCTTTGCATTCTAGGACTATAATTTTAGATTTTAGATCACAATTCCCATTCTTCAATTCTAAAACTCCATTTTTTTAAAGATTTTTTTTAATTGTCAATAGTTTTGAAAATGACGACTCATCCGACTTATTTTTCTTAATTTAAATTCTTGACTTTTTATATAATTTAATTAGACTTATTTAAAGAGAAAATACGAATGAAAAGAAATTCATAAGAAAAGACTATTCTCAAGGAAGATGACGAGAACAAGATAATGTTGAGTTATTGTATCGTATATATTCTTATGCACATAGAGATGTTAGAAGTTATATAGTCTAATCTATATGAGTTATTGATAGGATTATTGTTTGTACATATCTAGGTAGGCATTCTATACATAGATGGGTGATGTGCATGTTTATACATACACATATACATATATGTTGGTATATGTTGTATTTATTACCTGTATTGTTCATATGTTTTCATGTTTGCATGTACAAATAAGTTGCTTATGCGTTTTCATGTTTGTGTTAAATACGCACCAATATTGAGTGGTTCTGTATGAAGAATGTATATGGATGGTTGACCATAAGTTAATAAGTTTTTTTAGAGGTTAATCAGCCAAACTAGGTGAGAGTCCTTTTAGATTTTTTTTTCCCAAGAGGACGTAGTTATGGTTGATGGAGGGAGGACGGTGAATATGTAGATACTAATATTTCAATTCTTATTCCCTAAAATTGTTTTTTTTTTTTTTTTTTGTGAAAATTAAGGTGGGAATTTTTTGCATATGGAGTTGGGGACGGGAAATTTAATCTCTATTCCTCTTTAGCTAATGTAGAAAATTTTCTCTCCACTAATCCCCATATATTAAATAAATATAAAAAAAATATCCATTAACAAAAATAGGTTTAAGTTAATATATTATTATAGTTAATAATTTTACTACAAAAATAATTGATACAATTAGAAGCCAAATTAGAGTTCAACCATTTATTGAATTTAATTTTGTCCTTAAATTAAGGGATTAAAAATATAAGGGGAGGCATGAAGATTTTAGCAGCCAGATATTTAGGTTAGAATATTGCACAAGTTAAATATGAAGATTGGTTAGATTCAGGTGCCCAACTCTTGCATAATCCAAAATTTTATTAATATTGACACCATTAAATTCCAAACAGACCCTTCCATAATTCTTCAAACCAAACCAAATTCTCTTTCTCATATTATTTCTTTTAATTAATTAAAAAATATTAAAATACAAATTTAATCTATAAACTTTCACTTTCACATTTGTATCTATTTACTTCTGAATCTTTTCTAAAGATCCCTCCACCTAAAACAATTTCTCTTCTGGAATAGACTCAAAAAATAAAAAAGAAACAAAAGAGAGGAGCTAGATTTTATGGGAGTTTGACCGCGTGGTCAAATTGAGAAAAGAGAGACCAACTTTTAAGGACATTAATGGTTGTAGTGTACAAGTTGAGCTAAGAGATGTAACGGCTTAGATCCACCACCAGCAGATATTGTCCTCTTTGGGCTTTCCTTTTCGGACTTCCCCTCACGGCTTTAAAACGCGTATGCTAGGGGAAGGTTCCTTAAAACGCGTATGCTAGGGGAAGGTTCCCACACCTTTATAAAATGTGGTTTGTTTTCCTCCCCAACTAATGTGGGACATCACTTGTATACTTTTTTTTGCGGAACATGTGGGGATGTGCGTGAATAGGCTTTGGTCTCTAAAATCTCCATTTGATAACAATTTGATTTTTAGTTGATAAATACCACGTTTCTATGTTTTCTTATCTACTTTTATATATTTTTAAAAAAACTAAATTAAGTTTTGAAATATATATATATTTTTTTTTGAAATTTAACTAGAAATTAAAATACTTTTCCAAGAGGAAAATCAAGTAATTATCAAACTAAACTTAAACTTATCCTTCTTAAATTTGAATTTTTTATAGAATTAATTCATCTCTAACCCATTAAAAAGAGTATAAAATACTTTTATTCAGAGAATTAATTAAGTAAAAATTAAAATAATAAGATATTACGCCATATAATTGGATGTTTTTTCTTGAAATGTGCCCTGAGATGGTTTGACCAATCAGTTGATGACATTCAAAGCCCATCTCCCTCTCCACAAGAAATAAATTAATATCCTCCATATAATATATATATAAAAGGATAGTTAAGAGAAAATTAAGCTTTTGATCATATAAACTTTATTTCTTCAAATTCCCCTTCTCTCTCCTCCTCTTCTTCTTCTTAGAGTTTGCAGAAGAGAACTGGGTTTTTAGAGAGAGAAGAAATGGAGAAGAAGAACATAAGCATGGTGGAATCCAAGCTTCCTCCTGGTTTCAGGTTCCATCCAAGAGACGAAGAATTGGTGTGTGATTATCTGATCAACAAAATTGGGTCTGTTCCTCATTCTTCTTCTTCTCTCTTCATTGAAGTTGACCTCAACAAGTGTGAGCCTTGGGATATTCCAAGTAAGTTTTTCTATTTCTTTTTTCCTTCTTTAGTAACCTTTTATTTATTCATGTTCTTTG